AAATTTTTAAATAATTTTTAAACCATTTTGAGGTTTAAATATATTTTTGAAATAAAATAATAATGATTTTATCTGAAAAGTACTTTTTTTTTAAAAAAAAAATTATTTAAAAATATTATTGAAACTTTTGAAATTTTAAAAATATTTTTAAATAAAATATATTTTCAAACTCCAATCATAATCTATTTGATACCAAAATCTTAAATCCATCCCTTTTCGGGGTTCACCGTCTTCACGGGCACTTGTTCCACTCTCTAATTGATATGGGATCTCACACCACTCCTATTCAGGGTCTTGCGTCTTTGTTAGCACTCGTTCCTTTCTCCAATTGATGCGAGGTCTCATAATCCATCCCCCCGAGGCCAATGTTCTTGCTGGCACGTCGCCACGTGTCCACCCCTTTTAGGGCTCAGCCTCTCCACTGACACATTGCCTGGTATTTGACTCTAATATGATTTATAACAGCTCAAACCCACTGTTAGCAAATATTATTCTCTTTGTGTTTTCCAACGTTAATGATTATGAGAGGGAGAGGTTTTCATACATTTATAAAGAATGTTTCGTTCTCTCTCCAACAGATATGGGATCTCACAAAACTCAGGCTTAAATTAAGGTGTTCGGAGTAAATAGATATCGTTTTGTACCGGTACCTCTTATTTACACAACTTAGATCGTTTGAAAGACACTAACCTAGACAAGAAAAGCTCGATCCAATGAACCCATTAGAGGTGTAAAAAAAGTATAATATTTTATTATTTCTTTGTTTAAGAAGCCCATGGCCCAGATATTTTAAGATGGGCCCAAAAGGCAAAAAGCCCACTTTACTTTTGATTCCATGAATGCCCATGGCCCAGAATTTCATTTTCTTTAGCATATTTATTAAATAAATGGAAGCAAACTCAGGTTGACATTTTAATTTTTAATGGCTTAAAAAAGCGTGCTTTTAAATTTAATATATTTATTTTAAAAAATTCATTAAAATTTGAAATATATTTTAAAATATATATTTAAATCGGGAGCGTCCGTAGAAACCACGTGGCGGAAGATAAAAGGGGGAGTGGGTTAAGAAAGAGAGCACGTGGAGTGAGAGAAGTCACGTGGTGCGTCAGGGGATTTAAATTTTGAAATATGAAGCAGTGAAGATTCTGTCGTCAGCAAAAGGCGACGTGTTCGAATCGCAAGCGATTTCTTAATGGAGTCTTCGTTTGGGCTCTTACCTTTGTGGCTATCAATGGAAAACCTAAAAATGAAGATGGGGCTCTAAATCTGGTTCGACCTCTTTCAACGGCTCAGATTCCTCATTCATGATTCATCCTTTGTTTATATAGACAGAGACGAACGGAGAGACACCGCGCTCTGGGGGAATAATCAACCTTCGTAGTTGTGGATTTCTCTGAGCGGAACGGGTTTTGATTTTGGATCGGTTCAGTTTTCGAACCATTTTTGTAACTGCTTTTTTGAATTTGTTGAAGCGCTTGTTCTTTGGTAGTGGTTATGGCCGAGCATCACGACCACGATGAGCCCAAAGGTGAGTCGTTGATTGATAAGATTTCCGGGAAGATTCACGCTCATGATTCCTCTTCTTCCGATTCCGACAATGAAAAGGTTGACACTTCTGGTTCTATTAAATCCAAGATTTATCGCCTCTTCGGTAGGGAAAGGCCTGTCCACAAGGTTTTCGGTGGGGGAAAACGTAAGTAATTTTTTCATTTTTTTGTCTTCGTGGAAATGTTCCTCTACCTTTAGAGTTTGGCCTGATTTCCTGGTTTTGTTGTATAGATAAGTTTTGATGGTAGAAATGGCGTGGAGTTTTTTTTTTTTTTTTTTTTTTGT